CAGCTCTTCGATGCAGCTCTCTTTGCTTTTGGTTTTTCACACTTTTTAAAAACAGGTCTCTCCTGTCTGTCTGTGCCTTTCTATGTAACACTTCCAGGAAGTGTGCAGACACAGGCAGTGGAGCCTGGTGGGGAATATATAGGAGAACTATAATATATCATTTATCATTATATTATTATTTGGATTTTTGAGACAAGGTCTCTATGTAACTCTGGCTGTCTTAGAACTTGCTATGTAGATCAGGCTGGCCTCAAACAACAGAGATCCACCTGCGTCTGCCTCCCAAGTGCTGGGATTAAAGGCATGTGCCACCACCACCTGGCTTTTATTACTGATTTTTATTTTATATAGTTTGGGTGTTTTGCCTACATGAATGTCCGTGCTTGTTGCTGCATTGCCCTCAGAGGCCAGAAGTGGGTGTCAGCTTCCCTGGAACTGGAGTTAGACACTTGTGAGCTGTCGTGTAGGTGCTGGGAATCAAACCCGAGGTTCTCTAGAAGAGCAGTGAGTGTTCTTAACCATGGAGCCCTGTCTACAGCCTGGTATGGTCTCATTTTTGTTATCGTGTGGAATCTCAGGATATAGAAATGAGGCAGGAGAATCAGTTCTGGTCTAGCCTTGACTTATATCAAGTTTGAAGACACCCTGAGTTAGATGAGACATGTCTAAAGCAGTGAGAGAAAAAGAGAGACAGAGACAGACAGGAACCTTTTGCAGGCAGGAAGGCAGTTTAGAAGGCTGGGTTCTGAGTTTGCCCAGGGTCATCCCCAGTGCAAAGCTGGAATCATGCAAAGCCTGACACTCTGGAAAATGAACCCCCTGGGACTCTTGCTGACCCAGTGCCTAAGTCCAAGCACAGGAATACCCTTACACAGCCCAGCGGGAGAGTCAAGGTGCAGCAAAGAGTCTGTCACATTCCCAGCAAACAGCACACCTGTGTTCCTCACTGGCATGTCCTTAACCACTGTCTCTTCCTTCCCCATCTCATTCACAGAGCCTTTTAACCGGCCTTTTAACCGGCCGTCTACATTCACAGGCCTTGCTGCAGTCGGTGGCAATGCCTTCGGGGGACTTGGAAACCCTTCAGTTAGTGAGTACCTCTTGATTTTTATATCTCCCTTGCGCGGTTTCTCTGACCCGTACATGGCTTTAGACCCTTGGAGGAAAAGGGGGAGTTTACTT